AACATTCTGGCATTGTTTTGCCCTTGTGCAAGTGCACGCTCACAGCAATTACTTGAAGCCCTGTGTTAAATGCAGTGGGAAGGATGGGAGTTGGCATTTGATTTGCCACAAAAGGAAGGATAGTCTTACTACGTGGCCCCACTTACAGCGTGTGGCTTCACTCCCTAGTAGGCAGGAAGTAGGACTGTTCAGCTAGCATTTCAACTGGTAAAGGGAAGGCCATACTCAGAGGCCAAGTCTCAGCTTGTCCTCCCACTATACTGTGTGGGCTTGAACAACTTATTTGATCTCTTCAGGGCTTCGGTTTCCTCATCTATGAAATGGGGCCCTCCCTGTCTGTGTTATTTTCCTATCCAAATCTGTACTGATTGATAATTTCAATCTGGGTGACTCCTAGAAAAAGATTCCACATTCAAGGAAGCTCTATGACCAAAGGTGATTAATAAAGAGTACTGGGCCCGGCGTGGTGGCTCTCGCCTGTAATCCTAGCACCTTGGGAGGCCAAGCAGAGTGGATCGCTTGAGGCCAGGAGTTGGAAACCAGCCTGGCCAACATGATGAAACCCTGTCTCTACCAAAAGTATAAAAATTAGCGGGGTGTGGTGGCTCACATCTGTAGTCCCAGCTACCCAGGAGGCTGAGGTGGGAGGATCACCTGAGCTGGGAGGTTGAGGTTTCAGCGAGCCAAGATCACAACACTGCACTCCAGCCTGGGGGACAGAGTGAGACTCTGTTTCAAAAAAAAAAAAAGAAAGAATACTGTATACATTTCCCTACTTTGAAATCAGACTGAGTTTTTTAATTCAATTACTGAGCTCCCTGATACATTAGGCTTTTAAATTTGTTTAAAAATTATTTTTTCAGGGGCCTCCCTGTTCTATTAATGTTAAGACTTCTGATTCTTGACAGTACTAAATTTTTCTCCTTCCCAAAGCCCTAGAAAGCACTGATTGCCACTCAGGCTACACTAGTGCCATATAATGCCTTACAGCTTGGAGTAAGTTTTATTACAAGGGCATTTATTGGAAGCATGAGGATATATGGAAGATTATTTTTTCCTTCTTCTCTATGGCCTCCCTAAACAGTTATCCATGAATGTGAATTTTAGTACAGTTCAAGTTCCAATGACTGCATAAAAAATCTCTGTTTTATGTAAACTTCACAGATCTCACCAAGCTGAGACAAGAATTTTCAAAAGAAAAAGCAACTCACTGCTTTGGCTAATTCTGGGGCAATGTTCTCTCCCTGTTGGCCTCCAGACTGGCCTAGTTTAAGGAACAAATTAGAGAATAAGAATTTTCAATCTTAGGGAACATTGCCTTACATAGGACAATTTTAAATGTTAGAACTTCATCTCCATAGAAGCAACTAAGAATTTTGAGAATCCATCCTGTGCCAGGTATTATTTTTTTGCATATTATCTTATTCATTAAAATAATACTTCCAGAAAAGAGGGTAGGTCCATAAATTCAAGTAATTTGCCCATGTTCATGCAGCTGGCCTGAGACAAAGCTGAAATCCAAATTCAAATTCTCTGCCTCTAAGACCAGCACTTCCTCCTTCTTCCCCAGTACTGATTGCTTGGTTTCTCTGATTATTTTGATGATAATGATGATGATTTATTTGTTTTTTTGGAGACAGGGTCTTGCTCTGTCACCCAGGCTGAAGTGCAGTGGCACAATCTTGGTTTACTGCAACCTCCACCTCCTGGGTTCAAGCAATCCTTACACCTCAGCCTCACAGGTAGCTGGGACCACAAGCGCATGCCACCACACATGGCTAATTTTTATATTTTTGGTAGAGATGGGATTTCACCATGTTGCCCAGGCTGGTGTCAAACTCCTGAGCTCAAGTGATCCACCCACTTTGGCCTTCCAAAGTGCTGGAATTACAGGCATCAGCCACTGCACCTGGCCTGATTATTTTCATTTGAAAGATGCCTTAACTATATAAGTCTTGCTATGTTATTATCTAATTCCTTTAGTGTTTTAATAGCTTTAATTTATTTTCAAATACTTCCTCCCAGTTGGTGGCTTATCTTTTTTATGATTTTAACTGCATCTTTCAAAAAGAAGTTCTTATTTTTATGTACTCCAATTTATCGTTTACCTTTTTTTGGTGGATTGCGCTTTTGGTGTTGTAGCTAAGAAATCTCTGTCTAACTCAAGATTACAAATATTTTCTCCTATATTTTCTACAGGTTTTATAATTCTAGCATTTACATTTTAGGTATATGATCCACTTTAAGTTCTGTGTATCTTATGAGGTGTGAAATGAAGTTCATTTTTAGCAAACAGATATCTAATTATTCCAACACCATTTGTTAAATGCCATTCTATCTCCACTGAATTGCCCTTGTACCATATATGTGTGGCTCTGTCAGTGGGCACTCTATCCTGTTCCATTGATCTGACTCTATGCTAATGCCACACTGTCGTGATTACTGTAGCTTTATAATGAATTGTAAAGTCAGGTAGTGTAAATCCTTTAACATTTTTTTTTTCCTTTTTTCAAAGTGATCTTGGCTATTCTAGACCCTTTATCATTTCTTTAGCTTTTATTTATTCAGGGATACAGTTACAAAACAGAATTTAGAAATCTAAAAATAATTTAAAATTAAAAATTGCTATATAAAAAGCTGTATGAAAACTGCCTATAATGTAGCTTCATCAGGAAGTGAGGCCCTCTGGGCACTGGATTCCATTTAGTTAATGTAAAATTGTTGCATATACCTTGCATGGATTGCCATTTTTTTCAGAAAAATTAAAGTATAATCATTTATACCAGAATTGTATTGGACATGATTGCAATTTTCATTGATGTTTCAGAAAATCCCTTGGGCCCTAGAGTATCTTAGTCATTATAAACATAGTTGTCATTGTCCTGGTATTGTAGGGGAATTACTGATTAAAGGGAGTTAGTTAGTTGTATTGCTGTCTACCATAGTTATTTACTCTACTTTTGATTTGGGGAATGCCTTTCTTCAGACATCTGAAGTGTTGTATTTGATAGTGATATGCAAAGCATTCTGGGTCTGTCTCTTCCAATAAAGCATATCCCTATTTACTTTAAGCTTGCTAGCTGCTGGAGACAGTGAGGAGTGACTATTAATTAGGCGAATTTAGCTCTGATCTGTTAGCTATCAATGCCACTGTGTGATGTGGAGCAAATTACTTACCTTCTTTGGGTTTCATCATTTGTGAAATGAAAGGTTTGGGCTAGTTAACCCTGAGTGGCCCATTTGGCTCTAGATTTTTCTTACTCTTTTGTAGTGTTTTTATCCACTTAAAAATTATAACCCCTTTCAAAACTTTTAATGTCAAAAAGCTCTGTGATGAGTCAGAGGGGGAGCTTTCTCAGTCAGGTAGTAGTAGTTGTTTGATGCATCACAGATTGCCTAACACCACTGCATGACTCTACTTTTAACCGTGGCCAGCACTGAGCAATTAAGATGGCATTTATGGCTCCTGGTGCTGAGATATTTTGTGGCCCATGGAACTCCCATATTCTAAGGAAAAGAATTTCTTCTAATCCCAAGCAATTCCAAAGCTTCAGAGTTCTCCTGAGTTGGCAGGTGAGATTTTCAAATGTATCTCCAAAGTAAGTGGTACTATTACTTGAAACCAAGAGGACTTCAAATATCTTCATTGTCGTTCTGACGCCAAAGCACAGCACACTACAATGATCATTGCTATACTAATAGAATAAGTAGCTTAGAGAGCCAGTTTACTAGGAGATGCAGAATAGAGACCCAAATTAAAAATAGTATAAGAGAACATTTAGTGGGCACTTACTGTGTGCCAGGTGCTGTGCCAAGCACTTCATGTGAATTATATTAGTTAATTCTCACAATAATATTGAAAACTAGGCATTATCATCTCCTTCTTACAAATGAGGACAGGATGCACAGTTTATGCTACTTGTCCAGGGTCACACAGTGGTAAGTGGTGGAGCTGGTCTTCAATCCGTATGTTTCAATCTAGAGTTTAAACTCTTAATGATGACGTCAGAGACTAGTTAGCACATTTAAAGAGTAATTGCATATGTAGGATTACAGTGATCTAGACAAAGAATAACCCGTTCTGATGGGTCACTTTTGGGTAGACTTGATGGAAGAAAGAATTCACAGAAGATTTCTTGAAGAAATTGTTTTGAGATTTATTTTGAAACGAAGGATATAAATTGGCCTAGAGAGATAGATGAGTTGGCACTGAGGAGATGGACTATATGAGGCCATGAAGACACAAATGAACAAATTTTGTGTTCAGGAAGCAACATAAAGACTTACGCAATGCAGAGTGATAGCCAGAAATAAAACTGATGTCATAGGGATGAAAATCCAAGAGGTTTCACTTTATTATAATAGGCACTGGAGATGCACTCTCAGTCTCAAGCAAGAAAGGGAACATAATTAAAATTGTCTTTGATTGTGCAGTTTATCCTACAACTCATGTGGGATAAATATGAGCTTTGAGTGCATCAGGGAAGGTCAAAAGAAAATTTCTTAGCAAAACATACTTGATACTTAACAAATTATCTTCAGGAGTACCACATAGCTCACCTCACTAAGGCCCTATGGCCAAATAGTGCAATGACTGTGTATTTAGGCCTTTAAGAGACCTGAATACATATTTTACATAATTTTTGGAAATGTGACTAGTCCACCTCAGTTAAGCCACCAGCACATTCCTTTGGCCCATCAACACTGGTATTGTGTAGTGGACATAAAAGGAACACAGAAGGGTTATAGATTAAAGTCAGGGTTGGGCAAATAGAAATCTCTCAACAATATGTACTAAATTGAATTGAATTGAAGTCTGCTTTCAGATAGCAATGGCTGCTCCTGAGTGAGGGCTAATGTATTTGGTGAAGTATAGTTGGGTCCCTTCCATTATAAATCCACTAACGCTAACTTAATGTCTCTTCACATTTTCTAAAATGACTTTTCTCTCTCTCTCTCCCTCCATCTCCCTCTGTCTCTATCTGTCTTTCTCTCTCCAGTTCCAGAGACCTAATGACTTCTCACCCCCTTTCCGCTTTGGGACCGTGCCCAACGGCAGCACAGAGAGAAATATTCGCAATAACTATGCAGAAATGCATGCCTACATGGGAAAGTTCAACCAGAGGGGTGTAGATGATGCATTGCTCTCCCTGAAAACAGGGTAAGAACTGCTTCCAAGCTCAGAGTCCTTGATCTGTTTCTCACATTTATTAAGCATACTATTGAATCACATGCACTAGGTATACCATGGTTGGTATCATAAAATGTTAAAGAAGACTTCATTTGCTGTTTATGGATTTCCAAGTTAAATTTGATAGTATCACTTAGACCAGTGTACAAAGATTCCTATGCTATTACTTACTTCTATGTATTTTTTTTACAAATTATTTTCTAGTTGCACTAATGTTACCACGAAGTAAGAGTGAAATAAATGTAGAAGTAGGAGGGCAGAGTGAAGGCTAAGGTATTTGTGCCGTGTATGAAATAAAGACCTGTTGTCTAAGAGGTGAAAATTATGGTTCTGGTGTCTTATGGACAATGGAGAAATAAAAGGGGGAAAGTGTAAATGTTTTTAGATAATTAACAGTAAGAATGTGTTGACTGATCTCCAGTGCCAGCTTGTGTTAACATACTCTGTCCTCTAGGGAGTGTTTGTCCATTTATAGTTCATGACCTACACATGTGTTGGCTTGCACAGTCCCAGCCAAACTGGTCCCTTTGTTCATTTGGCCTCCACAAGCTACAGTTATGGAAGATGATGGATAATGGAGCATTATAGATGTTGGGATTTGGAAGTCAAGGGGTCTTGTAGCTCATTTTCTTTGTTGTATGATGATTAAACAGCACTTGGACCTCCTCTCAATACCCTTGTAGCTCCAGGTCTGGAAAAGGCACCTAGATACATGGTTACGTAAAATACTGTTAGATTCTATGTTATCACCATAGATACGGTCACAAAAGATCTCAGAAGATGGGATTTGAGCTTGAAGGTAGGGCCACTTTGGGTATTCTGACCCCTGCTACACCCACCATTCTCATTCATATCGGGGCTTTGGTTTTTTGGTGTTCCCCTTTCTATAGGTTACCTAACAAAGTGACTTAACTAATAAAAATGAAGGGAATAATGGTGTTGCTTTTCTTTCTTGCAGACCTCTCTATTGCCTGTACAGCTATATCTAAATTTCTTCCTCTACCTTTGATATGTTTAAATGTTGGTTTTAAATATTGATTCATGCCTTCCTGCCCCTATGCCTGGTCTTACTCCCTTTTTTATGTATTTCTCCCTTGCAAAGCACAATACATAAAATGAAGTTCTTTTATGTTTAGGAACTATATGCTGTAATTTATTTATTCGAGAGATCTGAATTCTTCTGTATTTTGCCTTCTCTTGTAGTTTCACTCATCTGCTCTTACACAAGCCTGTACTGCCACCACCTCAACCCCTCACCTCTATCCTTGTGCTGCACAACAGAATACTGGAAACTTCCTGACCACAAAAATAGCATTGCACATCTATTGAAACACAAACACCTACACTTATCCCCACTCCAGACTGTAATGAACTGAGAAATGAAAAATGTTATATAAATCTAACCCCATGCTATTTGTTGCTCATTGCGGTGGTTACTTTTCATTATTTCTGTTATTATTTTTATTGATCCCTTTTTACTCCTTCTTCCTTTCAGACACAGTTTATGAGTTGGCTTCAGGCCCAACTTACATTCTCATCATTCCCAGTGGGAAGAAAAGAACTCCTCCTTTCAACCCAAAAGCACATAAAGAACAGCCTGGGATTTAGGCTTTAGATTCTGGCAGAGTTCCAATTTAAACCTTACTTTGAACCAATTCTCCACATAGTTTTCTGGAACCCTACTGCTTCGTTTTAATGGCCCCATAGGTAGTTTTGTTCTAAAATTCCTCCATTGGATTTGTTTGCTTTTTTCCTGTACAGGAAACTGGATGCCTTCATCTATGATGCAGCAGTGCTGAACTATATGGCAGGCAGAGATGAAGGCTGCAAGCTGGTGACCATTGGCAGTGGGAAGGTCTTTGCTTCCACTGGCTATGGCATTGCCATCCAAAAAGATTCTGGGTGGAAGCGCCAGGTGGACCTTGCTATCCTGCAGCTCTTTGGAGATGGTGAGTTCAAGAAAGGGAAAGTGCCCATTTGTCCTCTACTGATGGCCAGTCCAAAACATCAACCTTTTCCTTTCCTCCATTTATTTAACCTGTGCATTTCCAGAAAAGCATTTCACAGTATATTGTGTAGTTTTCAGGTATATATTAGTTTCTTATTGCTGCCATAACAAAGTGCCATGCATTGAGTGGCTTAAACAACAGAAATGTCTCGTCTCACAGTTCCAGAGAATAGACGTGTGAAATCACAGTGCCAGCAGGGGCAATCTCTTCTGAGGTCTGCAAGGCAGAATCTGTTTCATGCCTCTCCCATAGTATCATCTGGTGGTTTGCTGATAATCTTTGGCATTCCTCATCTTGTAGAAGCATACCACCGATCTCTGATTCATGTTCACGTCGTGTTTTACCAGTGTGCATGTTTTCCCTCTGCACACGTCTGTGTCTGAATTTCCCTTTTTCTTAAGAATGACAGTCATATTAGATTAGGGGTTCACCCTACTCTGGGATGATCTCGGCTTCGTTATGTTTGCAATGACTCTATTTCCAAATAAAGTCACATCCCAAGGTATTGGGGGTTAGGACTTCAACACATATATTTTTGGGGGATGGTATAACATCTTTCACCCCATAACAAGGTGAAAGATGGCAGGGAGAGGATTGAAGCAGTTTGTCAAGGAGGTTTGTTTCTGGGTTGCAGGCTATAATCAAACCTTCAGGGATAAAGTAGGAGAACTGATATTAGATGTTTCATCCAGTCATCTCACATGTGGCCAAAATAATAGATGGAACTGTGGAAGGTCTCTGCTCTTTATGTGCCCAGAGGTAGGGCAGAGAAATAAACTTGCAGCCATCTAGTCATTCTTCCTGCTCTCCCATCTTGCTCTATCAGCTGGAAGAGGCAGGGTTAGGGTCCTCAGAGGCAGACACCATCAGCTACTCCCCAGTATAATCCTGGCAGCAGACTGAGCTGCCAACTTGAGTTGAAAAAAATCTCATCTTCTGTTTCATTATATTCCTGTCTTCTGCATCCCTCTTCACTTTATTGTACAAAGAAACTACTTTTTCTGTTAGAATCACAGAAACTAACTCAGTTATGAATGCGCAGCCAGACCCTTCTTGGCTTCACCAGCCATCAGCCAAGTGGCTATCTCAATTATGTCTGCAGAAGGTTTGCCGTTAAGGATGAGATCAGAAGCAGAAGACCACAGGTGGATTTATAGAATCCAGGTGAAGTTGTCTGCTCCACTAGTTAGGAGAATCATAGTTTAATTAAAAAAAATAAGGGAAAAGTGGTTTGATTAACACTGGAAACAGGAGAATGTTTTAGCTGAAGTGTTACCAAGCCATTTTGGTATAAGAGCTTCTGTAATTTTAGTGTAGCTGTCACTCAAAGGCAATAATGGAGACGATACCCATCAGAAAGAGATGATTTGCAAAAGTTGCCAAAACTTTAGTCAGATTATGCAAGCAAAGTTCAGTTTTTTAGCCAAACTAGAACTATTGGAATAGGCAATTTTCTCCATGAGATTTTCAGAATTTTGCTTGTCTAGAACTAGATGCATTCTAGGGCACATGGTTTCTTTTACTTTCCTTTTGTCTGGGACCTCTTCCTACTTCCTAGCATCTGGTGAAGTGGAAAAAGGTCATTGAAATCTGACATGAATTAAAGCAATCAAAGCATGGTTAAACAATGTGTAAAGAAGGCAAGTCTGAATTTGGGAGTCTTATTTTATTCAAGCTTACTCCTCCTTGCTCTTTATTTTCTTCAACAAGAGATCAGTAAATCGGAGGGGCCCTAGGGAATCAATCAATCTCTCTGCCTCTCTCCTCCCTACCCGATCTGCTTTGCACAATTTTAAGGGCAATTCTCTGAATCACTCATTCGATTATGTTATTCCCCACTGTCTGTAATATTAAGTGCAGAATGCTTAATCTGATACTCTGGTCTTTAGCACTCTCACATCAATCTTTTTTATTCAGCTTCTTTTGCCTACTGTGTCTTTTTCTGTTTGAACTGTTCTATATGCCTTTCCTTAAACAATCCTTGTGTGTTCCCACCGACCATACTATTCCTGCTGCCTGGAGTGCCTTTTTGTACAATGTAAATTAAAATTCATCCATCCAGCATGCCCACTTCCAACTCCTACTTACTTCACGAAAAACCACTGGCCATGCTATCCACAGAATTACCGTCACCACTTTGAACTCTTGTTACCTGCAGATAGCTTGTCATTGTGATTATTTATATGCCAATTTATACAGGCTAGATAATGGAGAGTGGGAGCAACGTCTCATGTGTTCATAGCACCTGCAGTACTCACATGAAGTTTTTATTGAATGCTTACTGAGTATGTTGATGAATTAATATGTAATGGCATTAATAAGATTACTATTAACTTTTTTCATTTCCTTTTTGTCTCCTTGTCTCTTTTCCTTTCATGTATCTTTCTCTTTCTTGCTCAATACCCCTCTTTTTCCCTTTTCTCTACTCCTTTCCTGTCTCCTCTTTTTATCTGTTTTCCTTCTCTGTCCTTTCCCCAGGGGAGATGGAAGAACTGGAAGCTCTCTGGCTCACTGGCATTTGTCACAATGAGAAGAATGAGGTCATGAGCAGCCAGCTGGACATTGACAACATGGCAGGGGTCTTCTACATGTTGGGGGCGGCCATGGCTCTCAGCCTCATCACCTTCATCTGCGAACACCTTTTCTATTGGCAGTTCCGACATTGCTTTATGGGTGTCTGTTCTGGCAAGCCTGGCATGGTCTTCTCCATCAGCAGAGTAAGTGTTTTGATTTAAATGCCTAGAGCTTGTTAGGGACAGCTTAGCCTAGCACTGTGCAAAGCAGAGAGACCCAAGAGGACACTATGTCCACCCCCATGTTGCTCAAGCAAGAAACCACATCATGTATGTTTTCTCAGGAGTTTGTGTGATGTGATTGCAAGCGGCTCAGAAAAGTGGGTGATACTATATTTCCTTCAAGAAACAGCTTTCTGTGTGGGATTTGGGCATTTGGTTCTCTACGGGAACTGACAGATCTGTCAAAATGGAAAATTTGGCTTTTTACCAAATGTCTTTCATCACCATTAGTTGGTTCTGTATAAACTCTATTAACTATCTAATCCTTTAAAAATGTACATTTCTGTTTAAATAATTATATGTAACATATCTCTTATTTTAACATACAAAGGTATATTATTAGTTGTTTCACTCTATGTTTTAACCATGTGTTGGTTATGGAGAGTTAAAGAGCTTAACAGAACCTTCAGAAATAAGCTCTGACTCATAAGAAATTTACATTCCAGAAACTTCCCTAGTTGGAGCAAGAGTGAAAACTCTTAGGTCATTCTTTATTTAGGTCTCCTCTTCATTCCTAGTCCAAAATGAGACACTAGGAAGACAGTTTTGTGTATGAGCAGAAGGTCACAGGGAGAAGTTTTTTAAAAAGTGAGCTTCTTTTGATTTTGTTAATAAAGTGGAGAGACTAATTCATGAGAATGAATGAAGGTCTAGGTTCCAGATATGGCCAACTTTGACTCAAACGGAGTTTTGTATTAATGAGAAAATTGATTTCTCATTAAATTATTTCATGTTTTCATCTTTTTCCTATAGTATTTTACTGATAGAGAACAATTTCTCCATTTCCTCTCTGGCTGTGAGTTAATTCAGGCCATCGAGTGAGCTCAGAACAGGAGGATGGAACTTGGGGGTGGTGATGATCCCTGAGCCATGTTGCTTCCCTGGTAGCCCTTCCCTAAGATCTCAGATAGGGGAATGCCAGAAGCCATGGGAGCTGGTGATCTGTAATAAAAACCCCATTTATGATGCTTTGACATGATCAATGCCTCTATAGAGGAAAGAAGGCTTGGAATTTTCTCTTGACCTTAATCAGGAAGAGTTAGAAGAACTGGGAAAGTGGAATAACCTTACCTTGAAGATCTTCCATCTTGCTGATGCCCTGTGGGACAATGAGACTTACCTTGTCTAAACCTTTCTTCTTTCCCATTTGGCTACGATTCTTCTAATCCTCTCCCCTCTCATTCCCATCCACTGAGACAACTTACCTTTCCAAATTAGTCCCATGTGTTGTAATGACACAATTCAAACAACCTCTTTTCAAATACTTTCCCTAGCCAGGGAGAAAAGTTCCAAGTTTGTCCACCTTTCCAGGCAGGGAGCAAGATGTGAGCAGGCGGTTGGCTTGACTTTAGAATCAAACATACTGAGCCCTCCAGGAACCCAGCCCATTGCCTCTCCTGCAGTGTCCTTCAAAGCCCTGTACAAGAAGCTGTACACAGGGAGCTCTCGATCAATACTAATTTGTTAAGATGTTAATTATTGATGATAATATTGAATGAGAAAGTATAAGAAGGAAAACAGGCACTAAAGAGAGAATAAATGAGAGAATTCAACAAGGGAGTTATTTATTCCTATTTAGTACTGGCTGTTTGTCCCAATTCTTCCCTCCCACAGTGTAGAGCACAGCAGGAGAAAAATCCTTCATTGACCCCAGGGCTTCCTAATTCTCTCTTTCTGTGAATTTTGTTCATGCTTGGCTCAAGAAGAGAATTGAAGAGAATTGCTCAGCTGTTATTTGGTGACCGAAATTCTAAAACCTGCTTAAAATTTGTCAGAGCTGGAAAACAGTGGCAATTGTGAGCTACTGAGCTCCCCTGTGCTTTACTGTCAGCCAGGTATGGCCAGCCATGGCAGAGCAACCTCAGCATCCATAGAGCATGGCCATTTATTTCCAGAAGACTGACAATATTTTTTGCTATGGGTTGATATCATGGCCTCATTTTTAAGATGTGAAAATCTAGGCATAGAAAACCACGGTAAGTCAACTGTGAAGTTGAGGCAAAAATGCCATATCCTATGATTCCAGTCCCTTTGCTCAAGTTACTGGGTGTGACCATGCCCCCTCTCTGATGGCCAGGTCACTGACCTCGTCTCATGACATGACAGTCACCAAATTCAGGGGTATAAATTAGACAAGCTTCTAGCCACATCTAACAGTATATCAGACTATTCGCTTCATGCTTTCCCTGATTTTTTCTTATCCAGTTGGGGCAATTATTGGTGGGAGAGTATTTTTTTTGTGGTCATTTCTAGCCTGTCTGGAGATCTAACCTGTCCCCACGTTCTTGCTTCAGGGCATCTACAGCTGCATCCATGGGGTGGCGATCGAGGAGCGCCAATCCGTAATGAATTCCCCCACCGCAACCATGAACAACACACACTCCAACATCCTGCGCCTGCTGCGCACAGCCAAGAACATGGCTAACCTGTCTGGTGTGAACGGCTCCCCGCAGAGCGCCCTGGACTTCATCCGACGGGAGTCATCTGTCTATGACATCTCAGAGCATCGCCGCAGCTTCACACATTCTGACTGCAAATCCTACAACAACCCGCCCTGTGAGGAGAACCTCTTCAGTGACTACATCAGTGAGGTGGAGAGAACGTTCGGGAACCTGCAGCTGAAGGACAGCAACGTGTACCAAGATCACTACCACCATCACCACCGGCCCCATAGCATCGGCAGTGCCAGCTCCATCGATGGCCTCTACGACTGTGACAACCCACCCTTCACCACCCAGTCCAGGTCCATCAGCAAGAAGCCCCTGGACATCGGCCTCCCCTCCTCCAAGCACAGCCAGCTCAGTGACCTGTACGGCAAATTCTCCTTCAAGAGCGACCGCTACAGTGGCCACGATGACTTGATCCGCTCCGATGTCTCTGACATCTCAACCCACACCGTCACCTACGGGAACATCGAGGGCAATGCCGCCAAGAGGCGTAAGCAGCAATATAAGGACAGCCTGAAGAAGCGGCCCGCCTCGGCCAAGTCCCGCAGGGAGTTTGACGAGATCGAGCTGGCCTACCGTCGCCGACCGCCCCGCTCCCCTGACCACAAGCGCTACTTCAGGGACAAGGAAGGGCTACGGGACTTCTACCTGGACCAGTTCCGAACAAAGGAGAACTCACCCCACTGGGAGCACGTGGACCTGACCGACATCTACAAGGAGCGGAGTGACGACTTTAAGCGCGACTCGGTCAGCGGAGGAGGGCCCTGTACCAACAGGTCCCACATCAAGCACGGGGCAGGTGACAAACACGGCGTGGTCAGTGGGGTACCTGCACCGTGGGAGAAGAACCTGACCAACGTGGAGTGGGAGGACCGGTCCGGGGGCAACTTCTGCCGCAGCTGTCCCTCCAAGCTGCACAACTACTCCACGACGGTGACGGGTCAGAACTCGGGCAGGCAGGCGTGCATCCGGTGCGAGGCTTGCAAGAAAGCAGGCAACCTGTATGACATCAGCGAGGACAACTCCCTGCAGGAACTGGACCAGCCGGCTGCCCCGGTGGCGGTGACGTCAAACGCCTCCACCACTAAGTATCCTCAGAGCCCGACTAATTCCAAGGCCCAGAAGAAGACCCGGAACAAACTGCGCCGGCAACACTCCTACGACACCTTCGTGGACCTGCAGAAGGAAGAAGCCGCCCTGGCCCCGCGCAGCGTAAGCCTGAAAGACAAGGGCCGATTCATGGATGGGAGCCCCTACGCCCACATGTTTGAGATGTCAGCTGGCGAGAGCACCTTTGCCAACAACAAGTCCTCAGTGCCCACTGCCGGACATCACCACCACAACAACCCCGGCGGCGGCTACATGCTCAGCAAGTCGCTCTACCCTGACCGGGTCACGCAAAACCCTTTCATCCCCACTTTTGGGGACGACCAGTGCTTGCTCCATGGCAGCAAATCCTACTTCTTCAGGCAGCCCACGGTGGCGGGGGCGTCGAAAGCCAGGCCGGACTTCCGGGCCCTTGTCACCAACAAGCCGGTGGTCTCGGCCCTTCATGGGGCCGTGCCAGCCCGTTTCCAGAAGGACATCTGTATAGGGAACCAGTCCAACCCCTGTGTGCCTAACAACAAAAACCCCAGGGCTTTCAATGGCTCCAGCAATGGGCATGTTTATGAGAAACTTTCTAGTATTGAGTCTGATGTCTGAGTGAGGGAACAGAGAGGTTAAGGTGGGTACGGGAGGGTAAGGCTGTGGGTCGTGTGATGCGCATGTCACGGAGGGTGACGGGGGTGAACTTGGTTCCCATTTGCTCCTTTCTTGTTGTTTTAATTTATTTATGGGATCCTGGAGTTCTGGTTCCTACTGAGGGCAACCCCGGTGACCAGCACCATCTCCCCTCCTTTTCACAGTTCTCTCCTTCTTTCACCCCTATCAGCCATTCCTGTTCCCATGAGATGATGCCATGGGCCCTCTCAGCAGGGGAGGGTAGAGCGGAGAAAGGAAGGGCTGCATGCGAGCTTCCTCCTGGTGTGGAAGAGCTCCTTGACATCCTCTTTGAGTGAAGCCAGGAGAACCAAAAAGAGGCTATGTGAGCACAAAGGTAGCTTTTCCCAAAACTGATCTTTTCATTTAGGTGAGAAAGCAAAAGCATCTACGTGAGACCATTTAGCACACTGCTTGTGAAAAGAAAGAGGCTCTGGCTAAATTCATGCTGCTTAGATGACATCTGTCTAGGAATCGTGTGCCAAGCAGAGGTTGGGAGGCCATGTGTGTTTATATATAAGCCAAAAAATGCTTGCTTCAACCCCATGAGACTCCATAGTGGTGGTGAACAGGAACAAAAGGTCATTGGTGGCGGAGCGGATTCTTGAACAAACTGGAAAGTACGTTATGATAGTGTCCCACAGTGCCTTGGAGGCAAGAGCAGGTGGATTGTGCATGCATGTGTGTTCATGCACACTTGCACCCACATGTAGTTGGGTGCCTCAAGAGAAGGCAACCTTGACTCCTTCTGTTGTTTCTTTCAATATCCCCAAGCAGTGTGATTGTTTGGCTTATATACAGACAGAGATGGCCATGTGTTACCTGAATTTTGGCTGTGTCTCCCTTCATCCTTCTTGAATAAGGAGAATGAAAATTCTTGATAAAGAAGAATCCGTGGTCTAGACAAAAATGATGGTGAGCAATCCTGCAAGAGCAAGGTACAAAAACAAGTCCTCAGTGGTTGGCAATTTTTTTAACCAGTTTGAACCAAGAATCTTCCAGGAAGGCTAAAGGGAAACAGAATTTTCACAGCCACGATTCTTTTGCCCACACTTGAGAGCAAAAGATTCTACAAAGCTCTTTTGAGTATTTAGATTGTCGACTGGCCAAGGTTTGGGGAGGAGCAAAGCCACCTTTGAAGAAGTAAGGAGTCGTGTATGGTAGGGTAAGTGAGAGAGGGGGATGTTTCCAATGCTTTGATCCCTTCTTACTTAACCTGAATCTAGAAGAGCAGGCTTCTTCCCCCAAAACTGATTACAACTGCTGTGGAGCAGACAGTTAAGAGAAATGAACTTGACAATTAAGAGAAATGAGCTGCACTCCATGAGTGTAGCTCAGGAGGTACAAAGAGAGGGGAAGAGACTTGGCAATGGGAGAGGGGGGCAGAGAGGGATCCTCCACAACCTCTTTGGGCCTGGCTCCCTGGGAATGTGACTTGAGCCCAGAGTGAACACTCTTGGTAGAAGCCCTTCCACCTTCCTGCAACACCTTGTTTCCCTCTCAGATTGTACCATTGAGGAATTAAAAAAAAAAAGATATACATGTATAAAACTCCAGGGATGAGGGTACCGGCAGACATGATGCTCCCTTCACTTAACATTGGAAAATTGAGAAGGGAAATGAATATGTGTCACGGCCGGTCCTGAAACTTGGGGTAGGGCTATTCTATGGGTCAGTTCCACTGTCCTGCCATCCTTCCCTACACAGGGTGGCATCCAGAGAGCCCCGGGTCTGTGTGGAAGCTTCACTACAGGATCGCCATGTTGCACACAGGACACATAAACCAGAAAGGTGCTCATCCTCCTCTGGAAGGAAGCTGCCATGTCTCTTCAAGTCACTCCCTCCAGGGCTGCTCTTCGCCCCTGTTCGCCCTTACTCGTGACCCTTCCTCATCCCATCCTTGACTGCTATCCCCGACCCTCCTCCTTGATTTTTACCTCAGTATCTTTCATTTTAAAGCCAACTGAAGGCCTTGTAAAGCTTTGTTTTCTTTCTAAAATGAACATGGGGGCAAGGGGCTGAACCTCTCACAGATTTGGAGAGAGGGGCACGGAGTGCTTTACCTTAGATAACAGGAAAGACTGAGAGAGGACAGAGGGCGTGAGGCACCTCCAGAAGGAAGAAGGTGAAGGGCCACGTAAACACCGCTTCGCCCTGACTCTGTCCAGGGGTCAGGGACTCATCCCCTCATCTTCCTCTTACCTCACCCCTTTCAAACAAAAAACCAAACCAACTAACCTAGCGAACAGCAATCTAGAACCAAGGGAGCTCTTTCAGTCTCCGCTGGCAACAGAAATCAAGATGGTGTTTATTTCATATGTAAATATTTTGTTTTCTAATTAATTTTGTAAAGTGTTCTCTTGTGAGTATTCAGGGTGTTGGGCTGGAGGGAGTGGGGTGGGGATGGGAATGAGAGGGAAAAAGTGTTTTGTTATGGGTTTTCATTTTCCACTGGGGGAATTGTTTTGTATGGCTTTTGCTTCAGGGTGTCTGGAAAAAGTGAATGCCCATGGAGGCCACTATGGTGAAAAAGCCAGGGGAAAGTAATCTGTGTCCATTCCCCCCGCCCCAGAAAACCAGTCTTCTTACTGGTTTGTGAGAAATGTTCATGCACTTTGGCCAGGGCTTTACATAGGGTTCAGTTTGGCTCTACGCAAACCCCAGGTCTGACTCCTATCCTTCTAGGTAAACCCTAGGTTACCGCATAACATGCAAAGACAGGCTGGTGGCACCATATTTCCTCTGTCAGTACCTAGGGTAGGAAAGATTCCCAAAAGGGCTTAAACAGAATTAAGGTCAAATTAACTTCCCGTTCTTGGTGTGACTGAAAGGTTTCAGGAAGCTCAATCCTGAGAAATCTCCCAGTGGCCTCCTCTGATGCTGAAACAATCATCTCAGTCATCTGAGTCTTTTCTTCCTTAGGACCTGGGCGCTGACTCACTCCCTGCCCCACCTCCACCCTCAGAAATCAGCCTGGCAAACACACCTGGAAAAATCTCCACTAACTACTTTTTGAAGCATGTGATATCTGGTTATCACATAACCAGAGAGGTAGTGCTGGATATGTGTCTTACAAATTTGCATGCTTTTCTAGAAAAGATGATGGGATCCACTAAAAACTCAGTGGTGAGATGATTCCCTTAGCAAGATTGCTAAAGTTAGGTTTAGAGGTGGGAGGATGGGTATGTGAGCAATGGTGCCAATAGTGGCCCTTTATTTGCCTTGTCCTCATTACTGCCATCAGGAAGGTGCTACTGGCCTTGAGCCAGGTGTTCATAATCTGGCCTTTGGTTAACCAATCGAACTTCTTTTCCTAGACTGTTGGTTTTGTGGAGGTTGGCAGCCTCTATCACAGGTTAAAATTTCTAAATCCATTTACCCAGTATATTCACTACATTTTTTCCTATCCTCCCATCATGAAAGCTGTTAGCTGGATAATTTTATTTTTCTAAACTCCTTATTTGGCCCCAATTGGTCACTTTTCTTCAACTGGATATTTGTACTGGGACTAAGTTACTCATGGTCTGCTCAAGAAAGCGTAAAGAAAGGAAGGCTGGGCATTGTTAAAATCTAGATGTTACTTAATTCCAGAATAACAAGCAAGTAAAATGCATGAGAAATAATTCAGCTATAAGCCCAATCTATATCACAGATGGGTATGAAACAACACCCAATCCATCCAAAACTGTGAGATTCCGCAGATACCCTCAGGAGTACCTAATATTCCCATGTTCTTCAGAATCCATGCTTTCTCTCTTTGTACCCTCTATCATTCCCTTCCATTGCAGAAGTGGTTGGTGAGTGTGGTCCTGTATGAACTCCTTTCAGTGGCAATGCTTAAATCTCAGCATTTCCACTGACAATAATCTGACTCTTGAATTTGCCTGAGTCGAGAATGTGCACACCTTTCAAAGTGATGCATGTACAGTGGACTTTGTTATTTCAAAATCTGTCACTGTGTATCCTCAACCAGAACTTGGGAAACATCCTTCGTGTGTATTCCCCTGCACTGGCCACAGCCATGTTGTGATTGAGGGGAAAATCCCAAATGATTCCATTAAATGTTGCTGGTGTCAGTAGTGCCAAAAACGCATGTATGATGTGATACAGTAGGAGTCATCTATACAGTTAAGTGACTATCACCCATCCGGTCTTCCGTGGCCATTGGGAGTTGCCCAAGGGAGAATTCTCTGCAGAGTGCTGGTCACCTGCACATGTCACTAAGAGCTAGGTTTCTTCGGTTCATTTTTTTTTTTTCCGTTGTTTTTTAGTTAGTTCAAGATTTAGAGACAGAATAACCAGATTGGTTGGGCAATAAGCTTTTGGAAAAACTATTCCAGAACTCACTTTATTCTTTTAATAATCATCTCTCTAAAAAGGCCCTGTCATTGCTTGACACCCTGTGAATGTCTGTTTTCGTATGTTGGGAATGATTCAGATGTGTGCATAAATGATGTCACTGCAGTGATGTTGATGAATGCATTCAGCATTTCCAGGGATTGTGGCCATTCCTTATGTGCTCTCTGAGCCCAAAGCCATATAGGAAACATATGCTCAGTAGGCTGCTGCACACTACAGCAGAGCTTTTGCTTTCTTCACTTGGGTGTCAGAGATTTTTCCTGTTTAAGGAGCTCTTCATGGAGGAGAAGCAGCTGAAGGTGAATAGTCACACCGGGATGGGTCTGGCCTTATGCATGCTGTGTGGTCCATGGTGTGTTGAAGGTCCTGAAAAGGTCTTTTTCATTTCCCACCCCTCTCCAACTACTGCCTTCCCACACAGATTTGTTGCTTTAGTGCTGAGCTGAGCTGCCTGTCATTCAAATGAAAGTAATCCCAGGAAAGGTGACATATTAAGCCATATTAGGGATTTATACATTTAATCACCTAATTTACATTAGGAATCTCACTCCTTTTCCTGGGAATAAGTTATGATACAAGAGAAGAGGAAGGGAGTAGAGAGCACTGAGAGCAATAGAGTAGGGAACAAGGATACAGGTTCTAGATGGCAAAGACATTTAAACCATATTTTATCCTCCACCTGCTTTTATTTAAGGCTCATGTGACACCTAAATAGGACTCCTGGTTAGGAATTATTTTCAATACACAATCACATGAGTGTATAATTTATGAATTTCTAAATTCAGTATCTTGTAGGGCAGGTTGAGAACTATGATTCTTTCTATAGAAAATGGAAAAGTGATGCTTCTCCTCCATTACATGTTACTGAGTAGGCAGCTAGAAAAATCAAATTGAATTTATGATACAATAAAAGTTACTGTCATTGTCTGGTCTCTGTCCCAGTTTAAATAATCTTCCAATTAGCTGAGTTGGTCTATATCCTATACTTTCCACCTCCATGGGGGGTGCCCTGTTATCTGGTAAAAGAGCCACTTATGACCTCAGGTGCTACTTAACCTGGGGGACAACTGTTTCTTAGGCCTATCAGATGTTTGGGATGACACTAAAATGCAGATTAGTCAGTCTGAGAATGTCTAATATTGATCTGGATCTAGGATTCTATTCTAGTTTGGGGGGGTTCCAGTATTATATAAAATCATAGGATATCTGAGAACATCCCACCCTCAACTCATTCCAACCATATTGATTCAGTCACACAGGGGCCCTGTGAGTTATATGACTCAGAAGAGACAGCCTATCTATTCCCACGACAAAGGCCCCCACCCAGAACCTTAAATTGAAAGCCAGTGCTGCTACTTTTATGCCTTGGAGAGATCTGTGAAGTTTAGGGCTTCTCATTTACAATATTGAAGCAAGAAAAAAGAATTTTGTTCAGAGTAATGGGTTAGAATAGCAGTACTGGGAATAAGTGGGGAAAGTTAGAAATCTTCCACATTTCTCTCTGCGTCTCTCAGAGCTCCGCACAGTGAGTTTCTGGAGCTGCTTCATGCTTTGAATATAATTGCTGGGGTGATTATGTGGGTAAGGGCTCCTGAAAGAACTGAAGGTGAAAAGCAGAGTAGATGAGTAGAATTCCTCAGAGCCTTGGCACTCTGGTGTGTTGAGTCTGTGTTTTGGCAAAGGTAAGAGAACTCAATGCAAGAATAAAGGTACAATTAAAAAGCACAACACTAAGCCCAATTTAAACTGTTATTTTAAAGATTGGGTTTCCACACTTTAAACCTTAACTCCTTTATCTGTAATTATTTTAGTGTTGTGATTTAAGGGGTGGAGCAGGTTCTAGTACTATGCAGGAGAAAAAAATAAAAGTTCTCTGGTTAAATATGTGAGTTTAATTAAACCAACGTCTATTGTGCACGTACTATGTCCCTAGGCTAGTTCTGTGAATGATATAAAAGGTTTCAAAATGGAGTATATTGTACTCACGTACAATATATGAATGCATAAGTACAAAATATGTAAATTTATAAATAGGTATACATACATTTGTATGATTGTACATGCAAGTTTAATATTTTCTAGTTTCAGGGTAGGAGTCAAAGATATCCATTATGTTATCTGAAAAAACATTGCAGAGATTCAACTTCCCATGTCATGGCCAGGCCTGGACTTCTTTTGAAATTATTACACCTCCCAGAGCTAAATTCTGGGGTTTCCTCTCTAACACAACCTTGCCTTTTCTATATCTTCCTTCCTTCAAGACCCCTCTGTGGTTCTGGTCCATAAATCCATCTGGCCTTGTTGACTTCCCTCTTTGATCTAACCCTGTATTTATCCACATTAGCAATATTCTTACTGGCAATTCCTTTTTCCTCTTGCCACCTCACTACACCAACCATGCTCAGCTAACTGCACCCCAGCCCCTTGTCATTCACTGCATTTCCAGGAAGAGAAAGTCTTAAACCTATGCTGAAGAGCACAAAATCAATCAATTTAACCTCGCCTGAACCCTACTCACTTGGACAACTTTTTAAATTCTCCAATGTTGACTCAGTGTCACATTCTGTTTGTTAAATTTGTTTTATTTTCCTTTCATGCTCATGTCCTGTCTTTCAACAGGCCATCTTTCCTACTGTGTTCACAAGAAAATCTGATTATTGAATTCTCACATATGCTGTCCTCTCTGCCTTTAGATTTCTCTTGTCTTTCACACATCTTCCCCATCCTTTCTCCCAACAGAGTGCTCCTCTTCCCTATGCTCTGACCTCTTCTGAGGTGCTCTCCAGCCAACTGTACTTCTCTTTTGCATCTTTAATTCCTTCCACACATCTACCTGCAACTATCTCAAAAAAACCAATCCTACAACTATCTCTAAAGACAAATCTTTCAATCCAATTTGACTCTTGAATTTCTGTCCTATCTGTGTTTATCTTTTTACTTCCCAGCTTCTCAAAAGAGTAGTCTGTCTTTCTCCACTTCCTCACCTTATGCTCATGGCTTCATCAATGGGCTACATCCTACCACTCTTTTGAAACTACTCTCAGGCAACATTCCAATGAAGTTCTTGCTACAAAAGTCAATAGCCTTTCTTTACTTTCCCTGCTCATCAGCCTCATTGACAATTACCATTGGGAGGCAATGCATTCTGGTTTCAATCTTAGTTTGCTGGTCCTGTTACCTCATTGGTTCCTGCTCTTCCTCTTATCTCCTGAGCATTGACTTGCCATGGTATTTTGAGCTTGACCCTCCTCTCCTTATTTTCATGCTCTGTAGCAATCTTTCTGACTTCAATAACTCTTTGAATGAAGATGAATCCCAAATCTTCACTTTTAGCTCCTACCTTTTGCTTTTCCTTAATACACATATTTCCAGTCACCTTCTGACTCAACTTCATCTTGACTCAAATATCCAAGACCATTGCTGCAAACCAACATAATCACCAAGTTCCTCCTTTATGTTTAATGGTATCACCATGTCTTCTGTCACCAAACTCAAGCTTCTCGGGCACTTTTGCCTCCTCTGTTTTCTTCATCCTGCATATCTAAAAATTTGAAAAGCCTACTAATTCTTCCCCCTAAGGTTTCCAGTCTTCCCTTTTCATTCAGACCCTTCCTTCTACTCTGGATTATTTCAGAATCTTTTAGCGTTGTTCCAGTATTTTATATTTGAATCTACTCTTATCAGTACTCAACTTCCTAAATATAAATCAGATGTCATTCTTCAGATCAAGAAACAACCTTCAGTGGGCTTCACTTGCCATAGTCTGCCAGCAGTAACTTGTTACTTGACGGTGTGTGCCCCATAATCCAGACAAGCTGAATCACATTTGTTTCCACTTCCCCTACCAGCTTGTTTTACCCATTTGTGTCTTCCCTTAAACTGCTCCCTTTGCCCAAAATACTCTCCTTCCTATCTCCCCTTTCACTCCCTTCCTGAATAATATCCATTCCCTCTATATAAGTCTTCAAAGAGCAGAACAACTTCATGTTCCATCCAGAAAATAATTTTAGACATTTTATGAATGCTCATAACACTTTCATTGTATCTCCCTAGTGACAGCTATCATGGGACATCTTATTTCATAGGTATTTGGTTATACATCTTATCTCTCCTGCTACAGCATAAGCTCCCTGTGTTCAGGGCCATGTATGTTTAAATCTTTTCATCTTCTGTAGCACTAAACAGAGTGCCTTGTATATGAAAGGCATTAGTAAATATTTGATATTATTATGAATTATAATTGAGGAGGAGTCACTATTTTGTCCATTTGTATCTGCAGTAGCACCTAAGGATAAATCCCCCCAGTTTCTCTATATATATCTGCACACACAATCACATGTATATGCTACATGTATACAGATTTCAAATGAAATCTGGATTTTTCTAAGTGCTTTGTCCTTTGAAGTTGTTTTGGACTGTTTTATGGTTAGGAAAGTGTACTTGGAACACTACATGATACTCAAGTAAGTGACAGAGGGAGAAACTATGAAGGATATTGATCAAATTTTAGGTATCAGCTTTTCAGATGCTTTGGGTAGAGCTTGTATCCAGACACTTAACTACCAAGACTGAGTCTCTGACAACCTGATCCATGCTGGGACTGATCTGTGATCCAATATTTAGCTTGTTTTTTTAACATTGCAACAAAGAACCTTGTCACAGTTCTGGCTCACTAATCACACAGCCTTGTAGACCCCAGGTGGTGGTCCAATAGGACCAGTGTATTTCACTACACGCTACTTCCACATTTGTGGCCTTGGGTGAACTGTCCATGCTGGTCACCACCTTGTCTTTATATTTCTTTCCTGAGCTCTGTGGCTTCTCACCCTTTCTGAGGCTTTGTCTACAGGGTCACTTCTCCCAAAGGGAGGATAAGAGTTGAGGTAATTGAACACTTTACCTCTTATCTATATATTTCCAATGAAAGTAAGTTAGGATTTGAATGAGCTGGCTCAGAGAGAATTCTAGTCTCTAAACTACTCCTTTCTCTGTAAATATAAAGGGATTCATTACCTCAGGGGGAGACAACATCACTTCTGACCTTATGGCCCTCCCTTATCCTCTGGTCCCTGTATTCTTGAAGCCCTGTTTATCCTTCCTCCTCCTCTCTTGGCTCTACTTAGCAGTAGCCAGTGTCAGTCTGTGTCCCTCTGAAGAAACTCTTGGAGCTGGTACTGTCCTTTCACTTCAGCTGCTCTGGTAACCGATAATGTTTCCTTTCCTTCTCCTGGCCAACCTTCTTTATAAATCTCATTATGCCATTGGCCATGAATTATTCCCCTTTGGGAGGCATCTTCTGCCACTGTGTGCTAATTTAAAGCATACTATAGAGAACTGAACTCAAATAAGTTATAGGCAGTGACAAGTCCCTTTTTTAAAAAAGTGAATAAAGTCCATTCTTCATTGAGACAGGAGTGGGTAGGACAATTATTATCGGCAAGGTAGGGCAAAACTTGTGACAACTTGGGAGATACCTAGTGAAAATTAAAATATAAGTCTAGAGAGATAATTTTGCTTTTCAAAACTCCTATTGGGTCTAGATATTCTTGCTCCTGAAAATGAGAATAGTTAATATTTTAGAGCAAACCCCATTTCATTATACTATGAGACTTTTTTTAGCTGATGAAACAATCTGGTAAACAGCTGGTGGGAGGGTAGGAAGACAGCCATCCTCTTGAAGGATGGTCATGAATCTCATTTGGGCCAGTGAATGGACCAAAATTCTAGGCATTTTAGCAATGAAGTGTTCATGTCAATTATTTTGCCTCCAAATACCCATAAAAGGAAAGGGAGGATCTGAGGAAGGAAAAGAACAGGAAGTCTACATTGGAGCTTCCCTTTGTGTCACCAATAAAGCCAGGAGCTGACATGTGAGGCTCATGGTTCCCCCTTGGTTACTGGCTTCAATGATAGCTTCGGAAAGTAGGGAACCTTGAAAGAGCAAGGACCAAAGATGAGATGAGTGAGGAACCTGAATGTAACCCTATCTATGAGGTCCTGATATCCACAGGGAGCCTGGCCCCATGTCATTCCTGCCCAGGCCCTTCAGACTATAGCACCCAAGGAGCCCTTGATCATCACCCTGGGCAGAGGGAGTGACTCATCACACCACCCTTACCCAAAGAATTTAGGCCACCAGGCTGTGACTCCATCTGTCCCCCTTACAGTAAGAGACTCACAGTCTCTGAAATCTGACAGGAGAACAGCGTCAGGGGAAAAGGCCTGAGAATGTGAATTTGCTGAGCTGTCTGCTCCTCTATGATAAGTACATTACCCATTTCCAGAGGGGATTTTTTTTTTTTTCAAAACGAAACAAAACATGCCTGCCTAAAACTTCAGCCCTATTCAGAACAGTCTTGCAGTTAACTGTCATTGTCACATTTTAATTATAATTGATTTTCTTTTGAAATCAATGGCTATTTTAATGCTCCCTTTAGCCATGACATAAGAACCCTCTGCAAACCAGAGACCTGGCCACTAGGTTGCCTTTGGCTGTGTTATTCTCTCAGTAGTTCATACATTGCTCTCAGATATTCACCTGAACAGCACAACTACACAGAATTTGACCTCTTTGCCATGAGCATTCTGATGCCTATGCACCTCCCTAATGCACACAATCTTAATAGATCCAAATTTCCAATGCCAATCATGTTATGGTAGATGAAAGTGTTCATTTAGAATGGGATAAACAGACATAATTTGTGCAGTCAGTGTTTTCTCTTTTGCTCTATCTGGCTGGTGGATCATTGATCCCTCAAGATTTGACAGAAATATTCAGGCTTCATGTGAAGGCAGCATTTTCTTTGTAATGGAAGAACCTAGTTATCCTCTTCACTGTCCCGTTTTACCCTATGGAATCCATGTGGCCATCTAAGGTCCTGTTGATGGATTGGTAGTAAGAGGATGGAGCAGAAGCCAGTCCCCCGAGAACAGACAGTCCTGTTGCTTAGATACATGCATATTCACACATGTGCCCACATCTCTTCTTGGAAACATCATGAGCAGAGGTGGAGAGGTCTGTTCTCAATGGGAGGAATAGGGATAAGTTCCTTGAGAATAGGGATTCTCAAGGAATAGGGATAAATGCCTTCGGGGATTCAATAATTTATCTGTTCTCTCTCTCTCTCCTGGGGTCAGGATCAAGAAAAATATCAAGATTTCACCTAGGCAGGAAGCAAGGAGAATAGTAAAGCATCCAGGCAGAACTCTTGCTGAGAAAAACATGAAGTAGTAAAATCACCCTTTTTTGACACAAATGCATTTGGAAGTCAATGAGAGCACTTACAGTTCTGTTTCCCTTCATAAACTTTTCATCTCTTGCATTCTTTACTTCTCTTTCTCAATTTATTCATCTTGAGGTATTCTTATCCTAAGGTGGCTCTGAGTAGCCCACCCTCAAAACACAAACAATGTTAGGATGAGAAGTTGAGTGAGCACAGAGCTCGAACATGTGCGTGGTACTGAATGTTTCCAAACCCGAGCCCAATCAGTCTAGCACAGTCAATCCCACTGCATTTTAATGACTAGGATGGGGCCTGCTGTACATAGCTGGACATCTTGGATTACAGAAAAGAGGCTTTGTGTGAAGTCAGCATTTTGTTTGTGATGGAGAAACCTAGTTATCCTGCTAACTGTCCTATTTTACCTGGTGGAATCCATAAGGTCCTGTTGATGCATTGGTTCTAAGAGAATGGAGAAGCATAAGTCAATCTACCGAGAACAGACAGTCTTGTTGCTTAGATACATACATATTCTTTATGTCAGGATTCCTCCTGAGACTCTTGCACACCTTCAGTGATCAGGGCATTCACTTTGGTTATTTCTTGGTAACAGGCACAAGAAATGGGTCACATAGAAATCTGAAGAGTCATTTCTTGAGCATTTTTAGCTTAATCCCATGTAAAGACGCACTGAGCTCCTGCAGTTCTAGCCTGCCTCTTCTCCCCTCCTTGGGGAATGGTGGAGTTTCTAGAGTCACCAGCAACCCATTAGACTCCACCACGCTTAGCCTATGGTAGATTCTGAGTAAATCACAGTAGTTCGTATGTGAATACAGGAGTCCTGTTCATAACCATTTCTCATATTCACACATGTGCCCACATCTCTTCTTGGAAACATCATGAGCAGAGGTGGAGAGGTCTGTTCTCAATGGGAGGAATAGGGATAAGTTCCTTGAGAATAGGGATTCTCAAGGAATAGGGATAAATGCCTTCGGGGATTCAATAATTTATCTGTTCTCTCTCTCTCTCCTGGGGTCAGGATCAAGAAAAATATCAAGATTTCACCTAGGCAGGAAGCAAGGAGAATAGTAAAGCATCCAGGCAGAACTCTTGCTGAGAAAAACATGAAGTAGTAAAATCACCCTTTTTTGACACAAATGCATTTGGAAGTCAATGAGAGCACTTACAGTTCTGTTTCCCTTCATAAACTTTTCATCTCTTGCATTCTTTACTTCTCTTTCTCAATTTATTCATCTTGAGGTATTCTTATCCTAAGGTGGCTCTGAGTAGCCCACCCTCAAAACACAAACAATGTTAGGATGAGAAGTTGAGTGAGCACAGAGCTCGAACATGTGCGTGGTACTGAATGTTTCCAAACCCGAGCCCAATCAGTCTAGCACAGTCAATCCCACTGCATTTTAATGACTAGGATGGGGCCTGCTGTACATAGCTGGACATCTTGGATTACAGAAAAGAGGCTTTGTGTGAAGTCAGCATTTTGTTTGTGATGGAGAAACCTAGTTATCCTGCTAACTGTCCTATTTTACCTGGTGGAATCCATAAGGTCCTGTTGATGCATTGGTTCTAAGAGAATGGAGAAGCGTAAGTCAATCTACCGAGAACAGACAGTCTTGTTGCTTAGATACATACATATTCTTTATGTCAGGATTCCTCCTGAGACTCTTGCACACCTTCAGTGATCAGGGCATTCACTTTGGTTATTTCTTGGTAACAGGCACAAGAAATGGGTCACATAGAAATCTGAAGAGTCATTTCTTGAGCATTTTTAGCTTAATCCCATGTAAAGACGCACTGAGCTCCTGCAGTTCTAGCCTGCCTCTTCTCCCCTCCTTGGGGAATGGTGGAGTTTCTAGAGTCACCAGCAACCCGTTAGACTCCACCACGCTTAGCCTATGGTAGATTCTGAGTAAATCACAGTAGTTGGTATGTGAATACAGGAGAATTTACCATAACCATTTCTCCAAATAACCTCCTTTGACTTGGAAATAGGATCATCTTTCAGTTTTACAGATGAGAAGTCAAACAAAGCATGACAAAATTAGATAATTAGCCAAAAGTAAGATTATACAGAAAATTCTTGACAGAATCAAAACTTGGCCGAACCAAAACTTGTCCAAATTTCTAACTCAGTGAGTAATGCTGCCTGAATTGTCTGTCCCCACTGTAGGTTTTCAGTGCTGAAAACCTACAGTCACAAAAATCTAGGCAGCTGATTTAGCCAGATCTTTTCTATGAAATTTCCCTTTGCAGACACACACACACACACACTGCACATACATCTACAGAGACAAGTCAAAAAGAGCAAGAAGAAAGCAAAAATTTGAAAATCAGAAAGGATAGAGGGGTTTCCACAGTGAAGAAAACTTGGTCAAATAAAAATGTTTTCGAATTCTATGGGGTAAGAGATTGTGAATAATTTTTTTATTATTAAAAATTTTTTATGTAGCATGTAATCCACACAAATAAAAAGCTCAAGAAAAATCTGGGACAGAGGATTTCTTCCAGAGTGCTACATGGGAAAAGGGCCTTCAGGAACGCGTGCAGGGGAGTCATGATACTCCAAAGGTGTCAGTAGTTTTTGTCAGCCCACAGTGAGCAGGGCAGCCTCGAGGGAGAGCCCCTTACATCCTCTTCTGGGCACCTCTGTCTAATTCTTAAAGTTCAAACATACAAGCCTGATTCTAGGATTAAGGCATGAGTTAGTTCGAACAGAAAAATATAAGGCAGTTCACATACACAATGAATTCTTGAAGAAAGAACCAATAGCCCCCAGACCCATAATAAATCATTACTGCCTGCCTAAATCCTGAGGAAAGGGAAGCATGGGTGCTCCAAAGACTAGTCCCCTGAGAATACTTATGAGACCTTGATTTTGTCACACGGTTGCAATGGTGATTTATTAAGCACCCGCAGATCAGAGAATTTTGCAACAACCTTCTCTTGCAACCCACCTGTTCACTTATGAATGATATCAAGCTCAGGAAATAATCCATCTTTCCAAAGATTTTAGTTTGTGCTGCAGAAGAAATTTTGACTCACGTACACAGCATTATGCTTATACCAAAAACAGTGAAAGAGCTCTAGTGTCCTGCTTAACACAGAGTAACTATTTTTTTTTAAATTTTATCAGTCCTTCTTAGCCCTAGAGGGAAGATAGGAGAGGAGGTAGAAAGATGGAAAAGTCCTTAGACGAATGAGTGAGGAGTCTACTATGCCATCAACTTCACAATGTACTGATCCCCGGAGCCTGGTTCAGGAGGCTGGTTTCAGATGATTGGAGGAAATGGAGGAGCTTTCATTCTCATGCATGAAGATGGAGGGAGGAGGTGGGCACTAGACTAATTTTTTAAGCTTAAAAAAAAAAATCAAGCCTATTACAAAATCTCATTTTTCCTTTGTCCTTTTGCCTCCCAATAATTCACATAAAATCATGTTATCATAGTAAGCTAAGACAGAGGGGCAGTAGCTATTCTACCTTGACTTCATGGTGACTTCATCTTTTTCACGAGTGTCATTACAGATACCTGGATCATGATGATCCTTAACCACAGGTCACGGGGCCAACAGCTGATGAGTATTTGGAGCATCTTATTCCCCCAAAATGACCATTCCCTGCCTCCTGCTACACCCATATTCATCCGGGGGAGGTGGGAAAATAGCAGGATTCTTGAGGACCCTGAGGGCATGAATGGAGAATTGTTTGATTGAAACCACAGAGCTCTTGTGCTTAGTATTAAATATTAAAATAGAAACGAAAAGTTCAGCTTTTCTGAGCTGTACGATAGTGGCCAATGGAGGAAGTCTTACAAAGAAAATATATGTATCTGCACAAGACTGAAGCCACTAAACCGAGTATACATAAAATAAGGACATCTTCCTATTTCAAGTATATCTTAGGGGGCATGGGTGCTTAGCTATCCTATAAGCACCCATTGCCCCCTAAGATATACTTCTGTGTCCTTTAAGACAGAGAAGATAAACTCAATTTCAGAGCTCAGAGCTCACTCCTGAGCAGCAAGATCCACATGAGCTTAAACTCTTTCCCACTGAGCCTAGGGGTGGAATGTAATTCCTCTGATGGTTTTGATTTCTTTCCAAGCTAGGATTCTCCATTTGATCATTGGCACCTTGGCAGCTCACACAACTCCATGGTCTCTTCTGTAGTTTTCAGAAAAAAAAAATATATGTATATACACAAATATACATGCATATATATACATATATATACACACACACACACATACATAACCCTGTTTGGGTAAGGCCTGTTGACAGAAGTCAGATAGCTGGGTGGAAGTTAGAAGATGGGAAAGAATTCTTATCTCAGAGTTTCAATACTGTGACAATGTGGAGAGAAATCTCCTGGGAAAATGCATATGCCCAGTAACTTCCAAATGAATCAGGGAAGTTGGAGCATTTTTGAGATTTACAGTGTCTTTCCTTCAGTAAAACAAACCATAGCAACATTATGCTCTGCAGAGTCTTCTGCTCACCCTTGGATGGACAAGAGCTGCTTCTCCTAGGGAGACAAATAAGAACAAGAACAAAACTCCCGTCTCCTAGGCCAGTTATAAGTGTTTTCTCCTTTCCTTTATTATTCTGTTACATAATGGGGAAATCTACCTGGCCATTACCAATCAAACATTCTACTTGCTAAATATCATATAGAAATTCGTGAAAAAAAGAGTAGAATCAGCAGATTTCATTTAATCCCAAGGGTCTTTGCAGTTTTCATCCTCTCCCTCAAAGTTATCTCTTCTTTGAGACACTTGATCACCTCTTTCCTCTTCTGGGTGGCCATAATTCCAAAATGAATTTCAGTGGTTGGTGCTTCACAAAAAGAAAGACAGCTATAATATAAAATAGACCAAAATGCTTATATTTTTAGTCACTGCAAAGTGGGCTTTATCGTTGAGAACAACCTTCCAAGCTCCTTACCTGGAAACCGTTCCTCACCGCCCAGCCTTCTGGCAGCTCTCCTGGTCCCCCTTCATGTTTTTGGCTCCCCTCCCTTTCTTTTCCTATGAAAATGGGATATATCCCTGAAACTGCATTCTTATCTAAACTATCAGACTGTTAAAAGAAACCCTTGATAGCAAATTTTCATGGTTTTCTCATCATTTTTTAACTTAGGAAGTTGGAGAAAGAATGACAAGCAGGCAAATGAGATCTTGTTCCCGAGTGCTTCAATTCAAGGTCAAGTGCTGGGATAGTGAGTGCCTCTTAGTGGAGAGGGATGTGCTCTGGAATATTAAGCCACCTCTGAACGTGTGCACTGGTGCTTTGGTCGAGATGCCTGTTGTGTATGTGGAGGTATTTTGTGGCTTTTCTTGTTCTCTTTTTAAATATTATTTCAAGGCACAAGCCCTTTGTGATGGAGGATGTCTAGCTTGAACATGCTGGTAATGTGACACTATCCTCAACTCCCCTTGGCCCTGGGTTCATAGGAGGCAAGTGTTTCTAAATTTCTCACCCAATGAGTTGTTGCTTGTTATTTTTAACCATTAATATTGTGTGTCTATTGGAATGAAAGAGAAGGCTGAATGGGAAACAGATTCAGTGACAAGCAGACAAAAAGCTCGGTTCTGAAAAATGTTCTTCACTGAGTTGAAAGAAAAATAATCTAGAAACAAAGAAGAGGGAAATTGGGGTAGAATGGTTTGGTGGTGAAGAGACGATGACACCCACATCCAGATGCTGTGGTGTATTCCCTCACAGATTTGTTTGTCATTCCCTGTGAGCTCTGGCAGAAGGAGAGGCTGTGCTGCCATTGATGGCTCAGAAATGGTGACAGGCTGACTTTAGAAAGAGACGTAGGCTTTCTTCCAGGCAGACACTGATAAGCATTGTAGCTTGATTCTTCAAAACCTTGTCTACAAACCTTTAGGGCAGCTCCTCTCCAATGATTTCCATTCTCCAGTCAAGAAGATTCTGAGTAGAAGAGCCTTGTGTGCATTGTGATTACATTGACTTAAGTTGGGAAGCCAAGGGGCACTGAGGAGAACTGAATATATCAGGGGAATGGAGTTAGTCGAACCTTTTTTTTTCAATATTGGAATGATTCTGGATCACAGAGTTAGGTCACCTCTGAGAGAGAAAATCTTTTAAATAAAATTATATCTTCCCATCTCCAGTGAAATCACTAGGTTGGCTAATATGATTACAGTTTACTTCAGGAAGAAAATTGCTAGATTCGATTACAAATAGGCATTTTACAGACTGATTTAATCCTGAGTCTTACACATATTAACATGGAATTTACTGACTCAGACATGATCTTCTAAGCTATAAAATATTACTGGCGGGTAGTAGATCATATGTTCTAAGCAAACCAGGAAGGCTAAAACGTTAAGTAATCCTCCCAAATATTTAGCACCTGTGTATTTCACTATAGCTGTAGGGGATTTGGGAGTTAGGTCACAGGGGAAAGGAGGGAAAGAGTGCCATAGATTAATGAAACTCAGTAACTTTTTTCTTAACTATTAAAAAATAATAATTAACCCAAGGACAATTCTCAAACCAGAAAAAAGCATGAAAAGTGAGCTCTGCACTTGCCATTGGTTACAATTTAGAAACACTTAGAATAAATATCCAGGTTTGGGGGGAGTTGTTTCTTTGCTTGCATTGTTTTGTTTACTGGAGCTCTTATTTTGGGGATATTTGGTCTGCGGCTTCAGACCATGTTTTGAATAAATGACTTATCCATGCATTGATATTTATTGAGTGGAAACCCATGCCAGGCTGTTCTTGGTGCTGCAATATAAGAATGAACCACACAAAGTCCATACCCTCTTGAAGTTTATATGTTGATGAGAGGAAATGGACAAAAAAGCAAATCAATAGATCTCATGTCAGACAGTGCAAAGTGTCATGCAGAAAAATGAGGCAGATTAAGGGGATAGATGATAGGATGGGTGTGGGGTTGCTACTTTTCAGTAAGCAAAGATGACATTTAAGTAAAGGTTTGGAGGAAATGAGGGAGTGAGACTTGGGGCTTTCTATGCAAAGGCAAAGAGAAAGCAATTGCAAAGGCCCTGCTGTCAAACCAAATGCTTGGCAAACTTAAGGAAGTGCCGGGAGGCCAATGAGGAAGGAGGAGAATATGAGAGGTGAGGTCAGAGAGGGGGTAGTAACGCAAGTCAGGTAGGGCCTTGTAGGACACTGTCAGGATCTGGCTTTTACCAAGAGCAAGATGAGAAGTTGCTGGAAGGTTCTAGCATAGAGTGATATGATCTGACTTCAGTTGAAGAGGAAGCTTTGGGACTGCTGTGTTGAGCATATACCATGAGAGGGCAGACAATGGGAGCGGCTGAAAGACCAGTTAGGAAGCTCTTGCAATAATCCTGGTAAGACATCATAGTTTCTTGGGACATGGTATTAGCAGGGGAAGTGATAAGCAGCAGTTGGATTTTGGAAATGTTTTAAAGAATCGATATCACACAGTTTGCTGATGAATTAGACATTGAATAAAAGAAAGAAAAATCTTAAGAATAACCTTAGAATGTTTGGCCTGAGCTATTGAAAGTTTGGAGTTGCCATCAGTGTAAGACAGGAATCCTGCAGGTGAGGCCGACTGGGAAGGAAAGCCTTACAGTTTAAGGTGTCTACAGATGTTCCAAGTAGAAATGATGATTAGGCAATTAGATATATGGACCTGGAGTTCACGGAAAAGGTATAGCCTGAAGATACATATTTGGAATTTGTATGCATTTGGATGGTATTTGAAGCCATGATACTAGAACTAGAGAATGAGTAGCGACAGAAGAGAATTCTCTGGACTGGGGCCCAGGGTGGAGGATTGTTCAAAGCTCCAGGAAATGAGGAGGGACCAGCACTGGGAGGAGTGGTTAGTGCGTAAAGCAAGTACTACCACTGAGTGGGATAAGACTATCTGGAAACATGGAGGTCATCCCACTGATGACCTGGAAAAGAGCTGTTTCAGTGGACTGGTGGGGGCAAAAGCATGATGGGCTGGATTCAAGAAAGAGGAGGTAGAGACAACAGGAATAGGCAACCCTTTAGGAGGTTGGCTGTAAAGAGGACATGGAAATAGCAGATCATAGAGAATGTGAGGCCCAGGGAGGGACTTCTTTTTTTTAAGATGGGAAAAATAACAGCCCATTTTATGTTGACCAGACTAATCCAGGAGAAAGGAAAAATTGATGATGCCTAGGGAGAGAGGACAATTGCTGGAGTAATGTCTTTGATGAAGTGAAAGGGCATGGGATTCAATACATACATACAGGGACTGGCTTCAGGGGACTAACCAGGTTTGTTTGTATTAATAGCAGGGAACTAGTGCATTTGGGCACAGATGCAAGTGGGTTGGTAAATGGGATAATGGGAGTATGCTTTTTCTGATTGATTTTCAGTGAAATATGAAAGGAGTTCATCAGTTAAGAGTGAGTATAGGGGAAGATTATTGGAGATTTTGGAAGGAAGCAAGCATGAATGAGTCATATAGCCATCCGGCAGGAAGAGTGAGAACAAAAATGTAGGAGACACCAAAAATATAGGAGACATGCTAGGTGGCACAAAGGACTTATCTGAGGTTCTTATCTGAGGATCATGAGTTTAAAGAAATTGAAGTGTTTTCTTCAGTTACCTTCAGATGCTTAAACAGGGTGGCAAGTTGGAACATGGTTGGGGTATAACCAGGTGAATATCATGAAAGCAACAAGCGATGTGATGGAGTTAAGGGCAACTACAGTGCATTAACTATAATGTTTGGTCATGGAATCTAAGCTGGGTGTAGAGGAAAGTGAAGATTTTTAGGGAAGGAGGACAATGAAGCATATTAGAGTCAGAGGATTGAGATTCAAGCTGGGATCACTGAATTAGTGAGTCAGGGGTCTCAGAAGCAATAACCTAGAAATTAGCTCTCTGAGCTGGGTCAGAGAGCTGGATGTTTGAGGTTATGGAGGGTTTGCAGTTATTGGTGGTTTGGGGTCTGTTGTTGGGGTGGTGGGCTGAGATAAGATAAAGGAAAAGATTATAGAAGGAGCAGGAGTCAAGGAACTGAGAGGCCAGGATATGGGAATTATATAGATATTGAAGTCAACAAAATGTTGACTTCCATATGACAGGAATGTAAATTATCACAGGAATGTAAATTATGACAGGAATGAGGGAGAGTGATTCAATAACATTTCAATCATTGCATCAAGTAAGGGGTGCAGCTAGCCTAGTCTGATGTGCATCAAAGCTGGATTTTATTGTTGCATGGTATTTTTTAAAAGGAAGAGAGAGGATGGTCTGGAATGGCAATAAGGGATAAGGAGGGCATCTCCACCTCCAGGCCCCAGGGCATGAGGTGTGAGTGGAAATGCTCACCAACTGGGAGTGATTCAGGGTCCTCAAAGAGGAGCCAGGTTTCTGTGAGAGCAAGAGGAAAGGAATTGCCAGGGTTGTGGTTGGTGATGAACCACTGATTCCTAGGCAGGATTTGGGAGTTGGTAAAGGAAGGGAAATGGGTTGAGATGGGAGATGTGCCTGGGTATCTGGGGATGAAAGTCCAAATGATAAGAGGGACTGGGGGTCTTGGGTTTCTCATGGTGACTGCCCTAAGCAAGGCTGTGGGCATTTGGGGTAGGCCCTAATGGTCTTTATGTCAGATTGAGGTGGCGATGCTGCAAGTGCCTGGGGCAGGTACTGGATGGCAGCACACGGAACTCTGGTACCTCTTCCTCAGTCCCGATATTTGTTTTTTTTAACTGCCACTAAAAAACCCCACTGCTACTTGTGATAGACCACATCATGTTTTTATAGATGTCAACAAATGTGATCCTGGATTGAGACCACGTTTTGACTATTTACCCTGGAAAGTACACATTTTCACAGGAAATCTTGTCCTTTCTGTTTTAAAGGTTCCCAGCTAAGCTAGTCTCTTTGGGGGAATCATAATTCTTTGTTCTTACTTACCTTACCCCTTGTTCATCTTTTTTTAAAAAAAATCAAATAAAAAGGATTAGAAAGCAACTTTGCTTGTGCCCAATTCTGCTAAATGAAAGTTTCCTCTGACAGATCATTTCGATTTTGTATTTTCTTTTGATAGAGAGAAACAGTGGGACAGGAGCACATGGAAATGATTGAAAGTCTTTAAAAGCCTAGAGAGAAAGTTTTTGAGGATCAGGAGAGAGATTAGAAAGAAAAGGACTCTGAGTGGGGCTGCATGAAAAGAGGGTAAGTAAGGACTCTTGGGGAGGGTCTGAAAAAAAACAAGTAGTCTGGCAAGGAGAGCAGAAAAATAAAAATCTACCATGTAGGTATTTGGAGATTTAGCAAGAGTAACCTAGAGTCTGCCCCCAGAAACACTGCACACTATTTCTGACACAGAGGATGCTCTAATTCTATTCCTGTGCCATTTGAAAAAATCATAATTTGAGAAGAGAAACTGTTAGGCCATTTCTAGTGAACTATTTTTCCAAACCCTCACAGAACCCTGAACAGGGTGTGAATGAGATCACAACCACTGCTGCTGCTGGTTCAGCCTCTCTGTCCACTAGGTAAAGGCAAACCCTTCAGCATGGTCACATCCTGCCAGCTGTTTCCCTCAGAAGATTAAATTGTGTTCATTTTGGCTCATCTGATGCCACATCTTGAGTTCTTAAGGTATCACAGCCAACTCAGAGTCATACCTTACTTTGTGCACTGAGTATGCATTGAACTCTATTTAGGAAGGAAGAGGGAAGCAAAGGAAGCCAGAGATGGTTTTATCATGACCTCTCTTTGCTTTCTGACCTCCCAGAATCCACTCTTTGGAAGATGAGCAGAAAGCAATGTGGCTTCCATTTACCCTGCCTCAGATCTCCCCTACTTCAGGCTGGCTCCCACCCCTGGTTAATGGGGTACATTGGGTATACCTATTTGTTAAAGGAATCGTGGGAAGTGAGGGGCAAAATTGATGGAGCAGTGGGAATAGATTCAAGAGAGCTTTGTTACCCAGTGACCATCTCAGCATTAACACTGCAGAGTAGCCCTGACGCTTGTGGAAACATTTCAAGGGAGCTAGAGGCAATGTTACAGTGGAGATCAGAGAAGCGATGGGGCAGTGAGCTCTTGTCCCTAGGGGAAATCTCTTTTCCTCCATGTGACAGGAGCCAGTGCCCCAACAGCATCATAATTACACTTAGCCACAATGACTGATGCATGTGTGTGTGCCTGTGCACATGTGTGTGAACGTGGTGTGTGCGCGCACGCGTGTGTAAGGGGGTGATGATGGAAACAAAATACACGTCCACTGTGGGGTTGGGTTGCAGATTCACAGCTGCACCCCTCCCCTAAAGTCACATGGCAGAGGGGAAATGGTCATAGCTTTCCCGTGTGATGTCCTCCCCAGGGAGCACAGACGACTCAGGCTTGCCTCGACTCTGTGAGGCCCAGACTCCACACTCCTCCCTGGGGCCAGCTCTCCTTCCTCTTGACTCTCAGATCCCCAGCCCATCCACCTCCAAGTTCTTTTTTGTTTATTTGTTTTGCTTCTGTTTTCTGTAAATATCTATTTCTTATTTTGGACATGCAGGGATCAACTGAGATTCTGGAGTGGGGGGAGGGGCGGATGACTGGGTCTTTTTATTTTTTCCTTTCTCTCTTGGATTTTGGTGTTTGAACTTGAAAAAAGATAATTACAAGTATATATATAAGCAAATGACTTACCTTTAAACAAAAGAAATAAGTTGATTTCATTCTTTTGATTTATCTTGTTTCTCATTGGGGTCGGGTGGGGGTGGGGGGTCTTTTGGGTGGAGGGCTTTTTTGTGAGCTGTATAGATTTCCAGTTTGGACTTGTTCAAATGATGCAGGAACAAAAATTAAAACGAATTAAAAAAAAAAGACAACATAAAAAAACAAGAAAAACTTTGTGATGTATAAAAGCTGTAAATAGTCAAAGATTCTTTCTCTTTTCTAATGGCAAATTATTTCTGTCACTTTATATTCAAAAAATAAAGAAACCTACCACAAATTATCAGGGTAAAAAAAAAAAAATCCAGAATCAGAGTTTTTTTCTTGGTCTTTGTGCTTTCTTTACTGTGATTCCAAAAACATTGTTAAAGGGCTGTTTGGGAAAAATCCCTCGCCCAGTTGGTTTCCGATTGTTGGTAAGAGTCTGGACTGGCGAATCTAGTTGGGTTAGGATCTGTTTCTACTATAGCTGTTTCTGGAGCCCTTTGGTTACACTCAGCTCCCCCTCCTATATTATTCTGAAGCAAATCCCATAATTATATCATTTCATCTGTAAACATTACAGTATATATCTTTTACTAAGGATTCTTTTTTAGTGTAACCACAATACCATTCTGACATCATAATGTAGCCATAATTCCTTGATAAGAAATACCTAGTGTTCACTAATTGTCTCAAATGTAATACTGTTTTATGGGGTGGTGGTGGGTTTTTTTTTCCCATCATAAATCAAATAAGGTCCATACAATTAGTTGCTATTTCTCAAATGTATTTTAAATCTAAAGATTTGCTTTCCAACTTTTTCTTGACATACACTTGCTAAAGAAATAGAGCCCTTTATCCTTTAGAGGTTCCCACAGTTGGATTTTGCTGGTTGCATCCCAGTGTTAATGAAGACAATGTAAATTGGTAATTGTTTTACTCTTTAATGCTTACTTCCATTGCTTGGAGGTGTCAGAAAAGCAAACCAACCCTTGTTTTGCCGATTGTTTCCCACCCTGCCCCCAGTCCCAGTCCTGTTACTGGCTTTATATATGAATTCTAAATGATCTC